CTACTTATAACTATCTGTGCAACTACTTAGAACTATAGGTGCAACTACTTATAACTGTAGGTGCACTTAGTATTGATACTCGCTGTAAATTTTTACTTGCACCTATGATACATTTTACATGCACTTGTAATACATTTTACTTGCACTTCGATGTTCAATTATTTAAGAAAATACCACTGCGCTTTTAAAAAAAAATCAGTGTTTCTCTGATCTTCCATTAGATCTGGATACGTGGACGGACAGAATCCATTCCTATTTCGCTCATGGGTGAAGCATTCGCACCTGAGTGCGATTATATATATATATATATATATATATATATATATATATATATATATATATATAATCTTAAATTTATGGAGTGATACTACATTCCTTTCTAAAAAATCATTATATCGTGGACTCGGGTCCACCATATTTATTATATATTTACAATTAACATATTATGTACGTGTCGTTAACAAATTGGGTATCTGTTGAAAGTACATAATATGTATAAAGTGAAGGTACGCAATCTGGATCATGGTTCATAATAGACTCTGATTTACAATACAATTTGCGCTTTCTTAATATTCACCTTTTGATGTTTTTGATTGCTAAACACATTGTTTCTATGAATTCTTAGTAAGGTTGATGATTAATTTTATGAGTAGTTAAAGGATATAATTAAGGAATTTTACTATCATTTCAATTTTTATTTACACTATATTTTTGTCCAAAGGCGAAATTTTCTCGTTCTAGAACTCTGCACTCTACCTAACAAGATAATAGAGAATAAATCACGATGATTTAGTAGACCATTAGGTGAAATGATTAGTACTTGGTGTCCGATGTTTATAAAGAACCCATAACATTAAGCTGAGTGTAATTTTCACACTGCCACTGCTAGGGTTCAATATATATTGTGTCAATACACTACATTTTTTCATTGTAAAATTTCTCAAATCAAAATATTTAATTCGATTTCAGGACTTTCAAATCAAATCAAATCAAACCCTCCTATATATGCTCCCCTCCCTCTTTATGTATGGCTGAATAATAATAAGATATAGATGAGAGGAGTGGTATCTAGCTAGCTAGGAATGGGAATTGAAGTAAATTAAGAGTGATCTTTTTGGAGGAATGATTGGATGGTTGGCAAAGGATAATTACCTTTGGTCTTCTTTTGTCATTTTCTAAATTTGTCGGAAGATGTCAACTTGGAATTATATTTATATACACATTGTGTTTTTCTTTTTAACAACAAATGACAGAAAGAAAGTGAACAATTTTTGGGACTCACTTACTAATCATGTCTACTCCTCAAGATGCTTCAAACTATGAACTTATATACATTTTATTTATGTCATGACTGGATGCATATATGGGATACTAAATGTGGTGTGATGTACATTTTTACCTCTATTTTCTTCTAAACTTTGCATCATAGATGCATTCTAATAATTAATGCTTTGTAATTATTACAAGACAATTAAAAAGAAATGCATAGAATACAACAATTTTGCTCATAAATTCGCATTCGATTTTTTTTATTTTTATTTTTTGAGTTAAAGTCTCAAGTTTGAATTCAAGATGTTGTATTGTTTAGGAGTTTATATATCAATATGTTTATTTAACGAGCATGAGTGATTTTTTGAGTTCAATGATAGTGTTGCGTCTATAAATGTAAAAGTAGGAGTGACTGTTTGTGAATAGTAAAAAAGTAAGAGTGTAGCATGATTCATTTTATAAATAAAGATTACATCCTACGAGAAACATGTATCAGTAAAATGAGGCAAGGATGCTAGAAGTTCTGAATTGGATTCCTTGTGCGCACATGAAGATCGACTAGGATATGATATGTGGGCTGATTGCGCGACTCGCGATTTACATCTGCAGAAGTTTTAGGGGCAGGGTCTTGTATGCTTAGGATTAATTCGGCGAAACTGATATCACCTAATTTTAAAATAAATAATTAAGAAATAAAAGTGGGGTGTTAGAGCATAAATTGAACTTGTATATAGATAGTTTAAAGCTATATGATACGGTACTCAAGCCAGGACCCTAACTCCATCACAAAAACTGGCTTATGAGTGAAGGTTTGATTCTAACTTAAGTACCACTTCACAATCTCTTGTGGAGCTGATGTGGAATCGTATCACTATATTTTTTAAATAATTTTCACTTGTATTTGTATATAATGCATGCCAATATGCCATGTTATGTATGATGATGAAGAGAATGGGATGCATGATAACGAAAAGATGGAGGAGAGCATGCATACAAAATCCAAGACGCATGCAAAACACCCTCATTATTTTGTCCTCTTTTTTTTTTTTTTTTTTTTTTTTTTTTTTCATTATTTATTTTTCACCTTTTCTTTCTATTTCCTATTATATTCTCTTTCTTTCACTTTTCCTCATTTTCTTTATAAAGTTTTTAAACCGAAGGACAGTGATGTCAATTTCATCGGTTCTCACGTCAGCCTGACATGTCTCCCACCATATTCCCTATCAATTCTTTATTTTGTTACGGAGTACTTTTTAAAATTTGAAATAACGAAATAAATTTATATTAATACAACTCATATTTTTAATTCTAAGCATATGTAATTGAGGATGGACCTGAGGACCTCTCTCATCACTACATATCATCTAAGCATAAGTAAAATAGATGTACTTGATTCATAAAAAATAATAAGTAAATACTCAAAATGGTCCCTCGACTATAACTAAATTCACAAATTGGTCTTCGACTTTCAATTTCAACCAATTAAGTTCTTAACTTTGTAATTTTAACACAATTTGATCCTCTGTCTATTTGATCGTTTGTTGACTGTGATTTTTGAGGATATATGTAATTTCATGGTCTATCGTCGATTTTTTAAGGTTCCGATTGCATTTCCAGACCGTACTGTTACATTCGAATCCACTGTCGAAAGCAATCTACCAAATCCGGTCGCCTTTCTTCATCCTCCCTTTGGATTCAATGTAGTTGAGTTCGTACCAGAGCGAAGAAGACGACGTGTTTCCGAACCGGTGCAACGTCATCCTAGAGGCCTCCACGTGCTCCGACGAGAGCTGAAGGTTCTTCTGGAGATCGTCGATCACAGTCAACAAATGGTCAAATAGATGGAGGACCAAATCGTGTCAAAATTGTAAAGTTAAGGACTTAATTGGTTGAAATTGAAAGTCGATGACCAATTTGTGAATTTAGTTATAGTCGAGGGACCATTTTGGGTATTTACTCAAAATAATTTATAATTTTTATTTTTTCACCAATAAAATATATACATGACAAGAGTTTTATCGTGAGTGTAGAGTTATCATTTAAAAAAAAAATAAATTTATGTAGATACGACAATTGCTTTTTATTTAGATTTAGAAATATGTTTAATATAAGCGTGTAGTTACTACTCGATGATGCACATTGATGACTTTTACTCTTATGTAATAGTTCCTAAATCACATGGAAGAGGTAAACGACATTAAAAAGTACTATCGCAAAAATCGGCCTAGGCAGTGCCTAGATGTCCCTAGGCCGTGCAATTTTGCCCCGTAGGCGCCACCTTATCGACCGGCCGATTAGGCGGCCAAATCGGCCAACTCTTACCGAGTTAAATTTTTTTTTTGAATTGGGGTTTTCGCTCAAAACGACGTCGTTTTGAGCAAAAACCCCAATTCAAAAAAACCCTATCCCCCTCCGCATCTCTAATTCTCCACAACTGCTTCTATTTGCTCTGCATCTCCTCCGTGGACTCCATCGTCTGCACAGTCACTTCTCCATCAAGCCGTCAACAACGCAACACTGCAACAAGTACGTACTAATTCCCACTTTTTCAGTAATTCACTAATCCATTGATTCTTTATTCTACATTCTGATCTATAATTCATTGATTACATTTATAGTTTTATACATATTATACATTTATACATTATACCATTTATACATAACATATTCCCAATTTGACAATTCATAGTAATCCAATAAGCAGTACACATATTTTCTTTCCCATAGAATTATACAATTTTTTTTAAAATTAGGAGCCATGCGGCACCTAGGCGCTTGTTGGACGCTTAACTAGTGCCTATTGCAATATTATAAAAAAGACTTTGTGTGAGAAATGTTATAACTGATACTGGTACTAAAATCATGCTCGACTCAATTCACTTAGATACTCCTTTTCGACGATATATTATAGTGAAAAATACGCTAATTGAGACTTTCCTTGTGAAAAGAAACTATAATGCTGCCAAACAACAATTTACTTTGGCGGATTTGAGGCAATTCTATTTTGGGAAATAAGGGGGTGGAGGGCATAAAAACGTTGGTTTTTTTTTTTTTTCTTTTCTTTTCTTTTTTGAAACAATTTTCTTTTCTTTTGTGTTGTGTCACATTCCCATTCCTCCTCCTCCTGATGCCAAACCAGGGACAGATGGTAGAGAGAGAAAAAGGCAAAGTTGGAGAGAGAAACCGAAGCCGCACTCTTTCTTCCTTTTTATATTAAAATTCTCTCTCTCTCCCACATCAAACATAATTTATTCCACAGTATAATTAATAATATATAATAATAAAAAAAAAAAACAAATTCCAGCCTGATTTAAGGAGTAGCAAAACATGCGATGAAAGAAATGAGAAGCGTCTTCTTCTTCTTCTTCCTCTCTCTCTCCCTCAACCACGTACTCTCTTCTGTTCTTCATATATACATATATATACACGTACATACACTCACAAACAAACCCCTATATACAAACAGAAGTTTAGAGTTTGAGAAAGAGTGGAGCTTTTCACGTCTTTGAGGCTTGGTTGGTTGGTGGGGTGAGACCAATTCACGAAGATTAGGGAAGTGGCGATCCAATGATGGAAGATCTCAGCAGCCTTGTGCTTCACGCTGCGTGGCTGTGAAGGAAGCGTTTGTACGGTAGAGAGTGGATTATTGCTGGGAATTTATTTTTCAAGCTTGCAGAAAAAGGACAGAGGTATATAGCTAGCTAGCTAGCTAGCTGCAAATCATACAGTTATGTATCTTTGTCTGTGGTTTATTTTACTTTTTTTGTACATTTCTTGATTTTTAAGTGTTTGAAAGTTTCCATGCTTCACACACAAGCTTCAACTGTGTTCTTATCTATACATGGATGTTGGGACTTCATTCAAAAAACAAAAAAGTTTTACGTGGGTTATTTATCTTTAGTATATAAATAAACAAGCTGAAACTCGTAGTATATCTATATATGATTTAGTATAGTTTATTCAAATTAGTCCTTGGAAAGGAAGATAGTTGTGGTGTCTTGTTGTTTTCTAGGGTTTTTCTGGGGATAATATAGAAACTTAACCAAGGTAGTTTCAATTGGTGAGTTAAAGCTACAAATTTTGGTTGAATGAAAAGAAATATTGTTGATGTTTGATTTTGGAAGTAATTAAGGTGAGAATTGAAAGATTATGTTTGCAGGAAAATTTGAATGTTATTGGTTCTGGAATTGATTGATTTGTTATTGTTTATGATATGAAGTGATGATGGCGGTGACATCGAGCTGTAAAGAGAGTGGGAAAATGGGATTGGACAATGGGAAATATGTGCGGTACACACCGGAGCAGATCGAGGCTCTGGAGAGGCTGTATCATGAATGTCCAAAGCCAAGTTCGCTTCGCAGGCAGCAGCTCATCAGGGAGTGTTCAATTCTTTCCAATATCGAGCCAAAACAGATCAAAGTTTGGTTTCAGAATAGAAGGTATATCATAAATTCTTCTTCTGTTTTGGTTGTTGATTTTCATTTTCTGAGATTTCATGCTGTTGAGCATATAACCATTAATGTGCAATCCAACTATCAGCTTAGGTTTTTAGTTGAGATAGAGTACGTGCTTCAATTCATGCCTCTGTGGTGTTGGTGTTAATGTTGGGCGGAGGCCGGCAAGGGCCAAGTCCAGCACTCGGGAATTGTTGACCCAAACAAATGGTATCAGAACTAGATGATGGGTCTACGTCCCACGGGACTGGCTTGTGCTGGAAGGGGATTGTTGGGCGGAGGCCGGTAAAACATCAAATCCAGCACCCTGAGCCCGCAAGAGCACGGGACTGGCTGGTGTTGGAAGGAGATTGTTGGGTGGAGGCCTAACAGTTAAAGTTTATTGATTATAGCTGGTATTGTATTTGGTTTGGTATGCAGATGCAGGGAGAAACAGCGAAAAGAGTCGTCTCGTCTCCAAGCCGTGAATCGAAAGTTGACAGCAATGAACAAGCTGTTGATGGAGGAGAATGATAGGCTGCAGAAGCAAGTTTCACATTTGGTGTATGAGAACAGCTATTTCCGCCAGCATACCCAAAATGTAAACAATTTACCTTCCTTCCTTCTTTTTCTTCTTCTTAGTTAGCTCCCTTAATGATTTGTTATTTTGATGATTTATTTTACAGGCAGCCCTGACTACCACAGATAATAGCTGTGAATCTGTGGTGACAAGTGGTCAGAACAATCTGACTCCTCAGCGTCCTCCGCCAAGGGATGCAAGCCCTGCAGGGTAAATGGCGAACTTTTTTTTTTTTTTTTTGTTTAGCTCTTCAAATTTCCATTTACTTTCTTCACTCATGGAGGTTGAATTTGTGTATATTTTTCCCCAGACTCTTGTCCTTAGCAGAGGAGACTTTAACAGAGTTTCTATCAAAGGCTACTGGAACTGCTGTGGAGTGGGTCCAAATGCCTGGGATGAAGGTTAGCCCTCACCTTACCTATTTCGCTCTCTAATTCTGCTCATCCATGAATTCTATTGTGTTGTCAAAAGAGTTAGTTTTACTATGAAATCATTATCTGTTTGTGTTGGGCGGAGGCCAGTGAAGGGCCAAGTCCAGCATCCTGCCTCTCGAAAATGTGATGGCAGTTTATAAGGAAATAAAGTTGTGCCTTCGCTATTAGCTATGGTAATCGCTTGATCCTAACAGTTTGATCATTGGTCTATGAATTGTGACCTAAACTCCATTTTTTCTGGAAAAAGAAATGTTTTGACTTTTTTGTTTTTTTCCCTTTTGTCTACAGCCTGGTCCGGATTCCATTGGAATCATTGCTATTTCTCATGGTTGCGTTGGAGTAGCCTCGCGAGCATGCGGTCTTGTGGGTCTGGAACCTACAAGAGTAAGTGTGTTTAAATGAAACATCTTAGTCTTAGTTGCTTTACTGTTAGGCAATACAAATGTAATGTGCCTGTCACTTAATCCAGGTTGCTGAAATCCTTAAAGATCGGCCATCATGGTTTCGTGATTGCCGAGCTGTGGATGTTCTCAATGCAATGTCTACTGGAAATGGTGGCACCGTTGAACTGCTATACATGCAGGTTAGTTTTAGTCCTTTTGGGATACCTATTTTGTCCTTAATATGTTTGTTGATTTGTCTCAAAGGAATGTTTTGGGTTTTAATTGAATCAGCTCTATGCTCCTACTACTCTCGCACCAGCTCGTGACTTCTGGTTACTGCGATATACATCTGTTATGGAAGACGGTAGTCTAGTGGTACGTCTCAACAATAATAGATATACTGCAAGTGAAAAATAAAGCAAACTAGGAGGTTTTATGTTATTTGAAGTGAGGAATAATATTGCGCTTTGAAATGTAACGTACCCTTTTCTTTTCCCTGCATTTGTGTACGTTCTAGATATGTGAACGGTCGCTGAACAACACTCAGAATGGTCCTAGCATGCCACCAGTGCAGCATTTTGTGAGAGCAGAAATGATGCCAAGTGGATATCTCATAAGGCCCTGTGAAGGGGGTGGATCAATAATCCATATAGTTGACCATGTTGATTTAGAGGTGCATTAATAAACTTTTTTAAAATTACTGGTGGCTATGATTCTTGTGCTTGTTTTACTGACAAAACCTTCCCGTCTTCTCAAACAGCCTTGGAGTGTTCCTGAAGTGTTGCGTCCATTATATGAGTCATCAACGCTTCTTTCCCAGAGGACAACACTAGCGGTATGAATGATTTGTCGTCTATATTCATATATTTGCTTATCATTGTGACAATTGATTCCTTGATGATCCCCCAAGTATAAAGTTGTTTGTGTACTCTTTAGTTTGTCTTTTAGGCTAAAGGATATGTCATTGTTGTTAACTTGTATTCCATCGTGACTTGGAATCACTTTTCAGGCTTTACGTCACTTGAGGCAGATCTCACAAGAAATTTCTCAGCCTACTGTGACTGGTTGGGGACGAAGACCGGCAGCCTTGCGTGCGCTTAGCCAAAGATTAAGCAAGTAATTTACCTAATCCCAACATTTTCTGTAAACTTTCAGCGTGTATATACTTAACTTTATATTGTGGCAGGGGTTTTAACGAGGCCGTAAATGGTTTTACTGATGAGGGGTGGTCGATGATTGAGAGTGATGGTATTGATGATGTTACCATTATGGTGAATTCCTCTACAGCCAAATTGATGGGTGCAAATCTTCCTTATGCTAATGGACTTCCACCTATGAGTGGTGCAGTGCTGTGTGCCAAGGCTTCCATGCTATTACAGGTAAGGATAATGTCTACAGAGTACATCTGCTAAAGCAATAGGAAACATTAGCTCTATATGGTATACTACATTTGTTAGGCTCTACAAGAAAAAAAAAAAACAATTTGATTAAGTATATTAATTTCGATAACAAGCCGTGAGTATATAGGTCTGTAGCTCCAAGTAACAAATTTAATATACAACAGGTTTGAGCCGGTCAGCTATGGGTAACCTAGGCTGGTTAACTTCCTTGTGGTCCTTTTTCGGCTAGGGTCACAAGGTGGGGTTTACTCACACTCGAAAGGGTTGTGAGGTTCCCTCGTTATCCAAAAAAATTTAATATATTTAATGTGACAATGTTATCGCTATGATCATAACTCTGATCTTGGAGTGTTTCTTCTTGTTTGTGTGAGATTATCATATTTCGTTGAGGTTCTGCTCTGAAATATTTGCTTCGTTTTAACTCGAATCTCTTCCTGGAATGTCTCAAAGAGTTGTTCTTCGCTTGTAATCAAAGTACATGCATTACCTTCTGGGTATTGTTTTAGACTTTTCGGAGTGAATGATTTTATGTCTTTCTTGGCACTCCGTGAGACCATCTTTCTTCTTTTTTGGCAGAATGTACCTCCTGCAATCCTTCTAAGGTTCTTGCGAGAACACCGGTCAGAATGGGCAGATAGCAGTATTGATGCTTATTCAGCTGCTGCAGTTAAAGCTGGTCCTTGTAGTCTACCAGTAGCCCGAACGGGAAATTTTGGTGGACAGGTTATTCTTCCATTGGCTCAGACCATAGAGCATGAAGAGGCAAGTAGCTTAGTTTTTAATTTCCAACCAGTAAGGTGCCAGTGTCTAATTTCTGCAAAAAGTTTTGGAATCGAAGCCATAAACTGAGCATATATACTTCTTTACTGTAAAACAGTTTATGGAGGTAGTTAGACTGGAAAACATGGGCCATTTTCGAGAAGATATGTTGACAGCCGGTGACATCTTTCTATTACAAGTACGTTTTTCCTGCTCCAAGTAATTCATGATAATTTGAATCTTTCAGTATAGTACTCAGTAATACAATGGTGCAAAATAAGCTTTCTGATCTTTGTATTCATTACATTTCCTCAGCTTTGTAGTGGAGTGGATGAGAACGCAGTTGGCACCTGCGCTGAACTCATCTCCGCTCCCATAGATGCCTCGTTTGCTGATGATGCACCGCTTCTTCCCTCTGGTTTCCGAATCATTCCTCTAGATTCTAGAATGGTGAGCAATCGTGTGTTTATTATCAGCCAGATTGTTTTAGTTTGTTTTAGAGATTCGAACCCATGCCCTTTGGTCTGACTCTGATACCAAATTGAAGTTCCATCTCAACTAAAAGCCTAAGCTGATAGTTGGATTGCACATTAATGGTTATATGCTCAACAATCATCATTATGATAATGCAGGATGCCTCGAGTCCAAACCGGACGCTTGACCTAGCATCAACGCTTGAAGTTGGAACAGGTGGAACCAGGCAAACCGGTGATCAATCGAAACAGTGCAGTACCAGCAAATCAGTTATGACAATTGCTTTCCAATTTGCATTCGAGATCCATCTTCAAGAAAGCATAGCTGCTATGGCTCGGCAATATGTGCGCAGTATCATATCGTCTGTTCAAAGGGTAGCATTGGCTCTGTCTCCTTCCCAACTTAGTCCTCATGCCGGTCTGCGCCCTCCACCTGGCACACCCGAAGCTCATACTCTTGCCCGTTGGATCTGTCAAAGCTATAGGTGCGCTGCTCTGAATAAACATAGATCGATCAACTAAGAGTTGTAACTATGACTGTCTGTTCGAACATTGATTGTTTTGACATGTTGAAATGCTGCAGATTCTTTTTGGGCATGGATCTTCTCAAATCTGCTAGTGAAGGAGGTGAATCGATCCTCAAATCATTATGGCACCACTCAGATGCTCTTATGTGTTGCTCTTTAAAGGTATTATTATTATTATTAACTATTTCAAGCTTCCATTACAACTCTGGGAAAATGTAAACACAAACAATTATTTGCAATATGAGAAATGTTTGTTGGTACTCCAAGAAAGAAAGTAAACCCTTTTTGTCTGCAGGCATTGCCAGTTTTCTCATTCGCAAACGAAGCAGGACTTGATATGCTTGAAACCACCTTAGTTGCTCTCCAAGATATTACTCTGGAAAAGGTTTTTGATGACAATGGCAGAAAAACACTCTTCTCAGAGCTTCCACAGATTATGCAGCAGGTATGCAGCACAACTAACTGCATTCTTACTCATATATGCATATATGCTGCAATTCATCCAATTATACATTGAGGGTAGTATAAAAAATTAAAGCGTGTGCGAGCCAGTTACTTTTGACGGGGCTCTAAGCAACACGTTGACTATAGTCTCTTTTTATCGAGTGGCACGGAAATTCGAACGCATGACCTTTGACATGGGGTTGGCTCTGATACCAAATTGAAACATGTGCTCCATCTCAACTAAAACCTAAGCTGGTAGTTGGATTATGTTTATATATGCTCAACAGAAAATACACGGTAGCGCACGTTACTGCATACCTCCTCCCTGCCTAGTCTTGCCTTGCCACACTAATAGATTTGCTCATTGTATGAACAACAATGCATTTCAAACGCGTTGCCTGTAAACATACCTTATACTTTCCTTAAGGATATGCAAAACCGATGCTTGTGTTGGGCGGGCGACTGCTAAATGTAGTCTCGCTAGCTATCTGCTTAAACTTTTAGTTGAGATAGAACACATCCTAGATTCAATTGTCACTTATATATTGTTATTCTTTTCTGCATCTTCGGCAACAGGGCTTCACTTGTCTTCAAGGCGGCATCTGTTTGTCAAGCATGGGGAGGCCGGTTTCATACGAGAGGGCAGTGGCATGGAAAGTGCTGAATGAAGAAGAAAACCCACACTCTATATGCTTCATGTTCATCAACTGGTCTTTTGTCTGAGGTTTTATTTTAGCATTCTGCTTAGGAAGGAATCTGTATAAGAAACTACAGTAGATTAAACATCAGTGTTTGCTTATATACAATAGACATGCTTAATTTTGCCTTTCTAACTATCATTTAGTGCTCTCGTCTGTATGTAGTTTTTCAGGGTTGTGATACATAGTTTTTCCAGATGACATTGTCATTAATTGTGCACCAAACTCATCTCATCATCTTATGATTCTATGGAATGAAACAAAGCATATACATAAAATAAATTAAAGAGACCAATTTGAATTCAACTTAACCACTTTAAAATACTCATTTAAATGAGTTAGAGCCAAGTATAAAACAGTAAAACACTATGTGCGTTATTAATATAATGAGAAATGCAATGATATATACTTATAAAAACGATATATTTATGTCTTTGAAATTTAAAATAAATGCAATGGCTTTATTTAGGAATTCTTGAACATAATCTACAAAATCTTATCTTTACAACTTTTCACTCAAAGTACCTCCCAAACTATTACTATATAAAATCTACGGAGTAATAATTATTATGGTAAATAATAGCTCAATAAATGTGACTATATATATATATATATATATATATAATATATATATATATATATATATATATATATATATATATATATATAATATATATATATATATATATATATATATATATATATATATATATATATATATATCTGTGTGTGTGTGTGTGTGTTGCATTTACATGCAAATACCCTTAAAATAAAAAGTGTGAACAAATATGGGCCATAAGATTTGAGTAAATAAACGGATTAGATCTAAGGAAATTAATTGATTAAAGAATCTTAATTAAGTATTAGAAAGGGTAATTAGGGAAATTCATTAAGGGGATAATTACGGATTATATTTCATATGGACAATACACCGTACCATAATTGAAGAAGTGTTAAGTATGGTAGGATTGAACTACCTAAGGGTTGACGCACACCCTTCGATCGACGGCAACCCTCTCTAGACGACAATCCTCCTCAACAGACGGCAATCCGATGCATCACTGAGGCGAATAGTAATGAATGTGAATTCTGAGAACACGGCAACGACAACCCTAGGTAATGAATTCGAACTGAGTATAATAGTTAAATGATGCCATGTTTGTTCAATTTTTTTAACGTGTGCATCATGCATAGAATTTGAAATTGATTGCATTGTGAACAAAAAGTGAATGAATAGGCTTAATTTGGAAAACCTAATTCTGAGTGACAGATTATGAAGAATTAGGTATAGAACAACATGTGAATATATTGTCGATGCACATAGAAATAAGAGAGAGATCACACATGCGCGTCCCCAGATACGTATGTGAGTAGACGGCCAACTCAAGCCACTGTACCATTGAAGAAAATGTACCATGCACACCCCACGCATACGCCATTCGGCGAATGAAGTGTGAAGATCGAACTGAGTAAAAAAAAAAAACATAACATGCACACCCCCACTAATGTAGTAATGTATGTGCATGCATGCGCGACTTATGAAACATGTTTGTGAATAATGAACACTGTGTGAGCATGTGTGTGATTTGTATGTGCGGCTATTACCGATAAAGCATGTAACGACATTTTAATAACGTTTATGTGGTCAATAGGCGAAGAGCAATCTGGAACTCTAGAAGTGGTGTAGCAAAATGTTTAATGGACATATTCCTAAACGGGACGAAATACGAGATACCTAATACCAATGAGGAATGATTTGAAACAGTAGACAAAGGAATTGAGTTCTACCGAGCATACGCGCTACCGTGGTAGGCTTTGATATCAGACACAACACGATGCGAAAAACTAGAGAGGGGGAAGTGGCAATTAAATACATGATATGCACATGCGAAGATTTCAAGCCCAGTAGAAAGGATAAACAAATCAAAACCATGGTAGGAAACAGTATAGGACCCATGAGAAGGAGGTGGATGTCTAATAGGGTTGGTTGTAAGGCGCGTATGGTGATAACGAGGTGTCCAAAAGGCGGGTATCAAGTCCATGCAGTCGAGCTCCGACATACACACTGCCTATGCTCAGACGTGGCTAGACCATTTTGAAAAATAAATAGGAAGCTTGACATTGGACACAAAACCTTTCTAACTAACTGTGTCAAAGCAAATATAGGTCCAACAAAAGCTTTCAGGCTGTTCAAAGAGATGGTTGGAAGTTTTACTGATATAGGGGCAACATGTATCGACTTTTACAATTTCAGGAGGGACCTATTGACATATATAGTAGGGGCAGATGCGTAAATGGTAGTAGAAGACATGTTCCAAAGGAAAGAGATAAATCCGGACTTCTACTTTGATTTCGATCAAGATGAAGAGGCACAATTATCCAGGTTATTTTGGGCAGACGTGGTATCCCGAAAAAATTTTGCATTCTTTGGAGATGTCATGTCATTTGATGCTACATACAGGACAAACAAGTATGCCTCGAGAACATTTCAATGCGTAGTGTAGTATATGGTAATACAGTTAGGGTTGGATATGTGTCTGTGTGAATATGTGAACCAAATATTAAATGGACAGTATTCATATAGTACTTGACTACCAAGAGGGGGTCTTGTTGACGCGGGTGTGTGAACGTTGTTAGTACTGCGTTTGCGCCAGCAACCTACACCATGGAATAGAGACATTTCAGAGGGAAAGTTTATTAAAATAATTTAATCGTCTTTAATTATGTGCTTGTGTTTATCATTGACGTGGGAGTTGTGTTTTGACATATATAAGTGTGTGCTCTAAGTTGCAGATGTGTGTGCACTACTAACTCTAAAAATGGTTACATTGGAGATACAACTTAGTCTTCATTCTATTCACGGGGGTGGATAACCATAAGAGATGCATAACATTTGGGGCATGATTGATTGCGAAAGAAGATGTGGATTCGTATGAGTGGCTACTAAACAGGTTCAAAACAGCAATGGGGTATACACCAAGATGTACTATAACCGATCAAGACCCAACACTAAAGGTGGTTGTACCACTCACTATGCCAACAACTAGGCACAGATTCTGTATGTGGCACATTATGACAAAAGTGGGGGAGAAGGTTGGGATTGCCTTGGCCAAGAATGAGGCTTCAGAAAGGCACTGAACAATATCGTATGGGATGAAACATTGAGTATAGATGAATTCAAGAGAAAATGAGAAACAATAATGAAAGACTACAACCTTGAAGAGCACAGGTGGTTTGTACAACTCTACGAGGCCCGTGCATCATGGATACCCGCGTACTTTCATGACGTATTCATGGGAGGACTACTCAAAAAAACATTGAGGTCGACTTCCGAGAATAACTATTTTGGGAAATTCATGAACCACCACTACAGCTTGATAGAATTCTTCATGCAATATAACAGCGCCATTGAAGAACAGAGGCATAAACAAGCAAAACTCATTGCAGAGTGTGAAGGTTCATTCCCTAAAACTAAAATACCTTTGAGCATTGAACGCTAAGATGCTATAGTCTAAACGATTAACATATTCTATAAATTCCAAAAAGGGGTATGGGAGGGCAGTTTCACATGCCACATCACCCACAAAAACAATGTAGAAGGTATATGGAAATACAAAGTGTAGGAAAAAGGTGGGAGAATGTTTGAGGTTACACGCCACGAAAATGATGAGAAAACAGAATGCGCGTGCAAAAAATTCAACCGAGTTGGTATCTTGTGTAGGCATATCTTGTTGGTTTTGAAGGAGGAGGGATACGAGAACATCCCAAGAAACTATATTGTTCCACGGTGGACACGAGATGCATGTGCACGACCAATGTATGATGTTGCATGGGCAGACGGCACAACTATTCCAGTAGAGAATGAGGCGAGAACAGTTGCCAACCAACTTTGGAATGAATTCTACAACTGTATGGGATTGGTGAATGGTTGGCTAAACAAAATGGAGCAAATGTTGGGAACACTGAAACAACTTAAAGGAGAGTTACAAAGGACCAGACAACAAAACTAAGAGAGTGGCAACCCCGAATATGTGATTGAAAGACTAGTTGGATCAACTGCACCGGGAGAAATACACATAAAAACACCTAGATCGAGTTGCAAAGAACAAAGGTAGTGGGATGAGGCTCAAAAGCAACAAAGAGAAATCCGCTAAGAAGAAGCTAAAAAGGAGAAAGAACGTGCAAAACATGCGACCTGCCGGATAATGACAGCCGCAATTGTCTAGACAAAATAGCACCACCAAAAGATTAGAATCCGATTCTTAAAAGAGCAATGTAATATTCTGTTTTTAAGCATTATGAAAACCGTTTTAAGACCACATAGTTTGTTTATCAAATTGAATACTATATAAATACTTAGATAGCTACAGTTTGTACCACTAAGAATAGAAATGAAGTGGAGAAACTCCAAGAACAAGATTGATTGTGGTGTATTTGTAATGTGCCACATGGAAACATACATGGGCATGAGGACGTGTGAATGGGATTGTGTCTTGCAAAAGGAAAACAAAGCCCAACTTGATAGTCTCAAGGTGAGATATCTTGCGGCGATATTGTCTGCTGAAGTTAATGAGCTCCATGATGAGAACAGGGCTAAAGCTTTGAAATTTGACAAAAAATAATGAATATTTTTTTGTTGATTCTTGTTGATGGTTTGATGTAATGAGCACATTTGTAAATATTTTGTAGCTATAAATTTTTGTGGTTTTGATTTAATGCACCTTAAGTCTTAAAATCAAGCACGTTAAGGTTTTAATTTATGCACTTAATGCTTTGGCAGTTTATATTCAAATTAAGACACTTTAAGCATTGAAATTACGCACCTTAAAGACTAAAACAATGCACATTAAGTTTTAAATTTATGCACTTAATAGTTTGGTAGTTGAATTTCTTTAGTTTTTGGTCTAAATCAATGAATACGCAAATTCACGCACCTTATGTCTATAAACCACGCACCTTAAAGACTAAATGCACGCACCTTAATAGCTTGGAAGTTGAATTTCTTTTCTTTTTTGGTCTAAGTCAGTGAATACACAAATTGACGCACCTTAAGTTTAAAAATCACACACCTTATACACTTAATGCACGCACCTTAAGGTTTAAATATACCTCTTAACCGTACCACGCACCATAAACTTTCATTTCACGCACTTTAAAGACTAAAATCATGCACATTAAAGTCTTAATCCACACACG